CAAGTATACATTATCGGATATACATAATCCGTACAGACATCTAACTAATTCATCTTTAAACAAAACTGGACCGCGATATGCTGAGTGCAAGGATAGGATTGGCAGTGGTTCGTATGAAAACTATAGTTGTCTCATTACCACAATTATATTGTTTTAAACTTTGTATTTTATTCGCACGTAATAATAACAATTATAAATTTGGTACAATAAGATGGTAAGTGCCATAACATATGGCAAAAGAATGTAAAAATATGCTACACTGAAAAACTTGAATCAAATTTATTTAGAAAGTTTAAATTAGAAAACAATAGGTAACATTAACCGCTCTTTATACTTTGTAATCGTTCTTATCGAACTTAAATTTGAGCTAAAAGTCTTTTTTTTTGTATCTTTTTATAATTTTACATTATAAATCTGACCAGGTTGCAAGTGGACATTGAAGCAAGTCCGTCGAGCGCTGGTGGGTCGCTGGGGCGCGGTGGAGTGGCTGGTATGGCAGCGCGTGCGAGCACTGGTGACGCTCACGTTGCTGGCACAGGCGGCCGGCACACCACCAGCGAGAAACTGCTTCGAGTTCTACGGCTTTGATGTACTGCTAGACGAGTCAATGAAGCCCTGGCTAATTGAGGTGATAAGTTTGGTTGAGGCTGTTTTTAGATTAACTTTTGCTTGTTTATAATGAAGTATCTTGATGTTAGCAACGGTTAGTCATTCGTCTTATAGTTCGGTTTTAAGAATATAATATAAGAATACGAGAATTGGTTTTAAGAATGTGTAAACGTGTCCATTGCGTTTATTCCTTGTATTCTCTTTAAAAATAAGAGTTTGTTTATAAAGGCATTTCGTATGGAAAACATTATAAATTTTTGATATATTATAATTTCTATTGTTATAGCTGTAGATTTTACGGATGAAATGTAAAATTTAGACTATTGAATGTCTTGTATTAAGTATAAGCAATGTTTATAGGTGAACCTATCACCAGCACTGGCCGCGGACTGCGAGGCGGATGTGACAGTGAAACAGCCCATGCTGCACGAGTTGTTCGACCTGCTCGGCATGCCCATGCGGCATACGGGTTTATCCCTGCTGCAGGGACCACCCACAATAGTCAATAGGTATATGACAAACATGCTAGAAGTGTTAAAGATCCAGAAAGGAACTAGTTACGGTCATTGATGAGCAGAGTTAAAACAAACCTTGGACTCGATAATGTCGAACTTTTGTGGTGCAACAATCAGTACCTACTGATACTCGAAAGATTTTTGATGAACATAATAACATAGATGAACAGTATTAGGAGCAACATAGAAGATTTCTATTGAAACATCATATGTACTAGAATAGAAAATCTGTCCACCAACCCTTCTGTATTACAAACTTGATAATTGTTCACTTCTGTTTCCTCTGCCGAACAAATTGTATAAGAACATAACGTTATTTCTCTCTTATTCGTTAAAAACTGCGATAAAAATATAGCAGTGTAATTTCCCGGTAATGTTCAGTTGCAGTTCAGAAGACGAGAGCGGCGCGCCCCGTGCTCCGCGCGTAGCCACGAGCATGCGACGCGGTGCGCGGTTTCGTCGCCGCCGCGCGATGCCCATACATTGTATCACTTTACAGCATCCCACAGCTGATAAGTTCACGGTAAATATTTCAAGATTAATTAATAGTAAAAATGCGATTATAACAAGCACATTTCGGCATAGCACTGTATAAAGCATTACGCATATTTTTTATTTCAGGATTTGAATAAAAACGGTCATACGGGACGGTTAAATAACTCTTTAATCGAAACAAGCCCTGAAATACCGAAGTCACAGGTATTTATCATACTTACAGGTTTCTTATTTTTACTTTCCGTATAAGAAATAAAGTAAATTATTGAGATTTACTCTTTTTTGAAATGTACAAAAAGGTAATATTGCTAAGGCCTTATATTCCTCCTATTCATAGCATATTCATTTGTTTCTTTCAGTCGTCATCCAGCGTAGGCGGCGGCGACTGTGAGGAGACATGGCGCGGCGGGTACGCGACGGCGGCGAGCCGGCGACGCGCGCTCGACGCGAGCACTTGGGGCAACGGCGTGCGCTGGCACCGCGCGCCCGCTCGCCTCGGTCACTGGATTAGGATATACCCGCACACCCTGCCGCAGGATGAACTAGTGAGAGTACTAACTACTACATGCTAAACTTAGAATTAGTCATCATCTCCCTGATCGTTTTCCTGCGTAGGATTAATTCAGTAGGTAGTCTTACTCTTTCATGTTTATCTATTTTCGGTCATATCTCAATTCACTTCTTTCGAAGACATATTCATTGATACAATCTTACATTTTACCCTAAACTAGGAGTAATTTATCTAAAAAAAAATCTTGTTGGATGCAACAAGCGCGATAAGTATCCCTCTACGAATTCGGGACCAGTTTGCTTTCGTTCGTCAGACTTCAATACACACACACACACACATATTTCCGAGATCGCTTCTTCACGGAACAAAATGATCAATGAACCAAGGTATATAACACAGTTAAGTATTATGTAATATTAATACCATAACCTATATTGTTGTTTATTGTAGCAACTATCAGTGGAGGAGGCGAGAGAAAGTGTGGCGCATGTATCAAAGTTGCTACGAGCAGCGCGAGAGGTCGTCAAAGAGAGTGGACGAGATATGCGGGCGCCCCGGGACGCTGCGCGTGACTCTGCCTTTGAAGCTTCGCTACGCAAGAAGCTCGGCTACGGATCGCATTTCGAAGTCTGGCTTCCTCCCTTCTAATGTGTTCAAACGTGAAATTACTAATTGTAAGATAAAAAAGTAATACATTTTTAAGAGATTAATTTTAGTTTCATTTTAAAAATTAAATGTGTTAATTTGTCAAATGGTGACTCCCAACCTTTGAAAGTCGGAGAGGCACTTGAAGATGATCTAAAACTACCCTTCAAAAGTTATGCTTTGTATTCGTATATCTTTGGAAGGTTCGAAAATATATGATTATGCTGTTTTCAAACCGTAACGTAATTTTCACTTTGTACGTGTAGTGTTACCTGTTAAAGGTCGAGGGCTTAATTGCGTAACGAATTAAATATCATTCTAACATTACACACGTGTTTGTTATTACAACTCAAATTATGTTTTTGCGCATTTTTGTTAGCACTGGCAACATTTCAAATGAAACTGATTTTTTTTAATTTATCTTATTTAAAGATGATCCTTTCCTTCCTTCCTTTAGGTTGGCACATAACAATAAAAATTATGGCAATCATAGCTGCATCCATAATAAAGTTTATAGTCTCTACGTTTGCACATTGCATTTGCTTGTTCGTAATTAAATTCAAATCTTATAATCTTTTTACTTTAACTGTAATAACAAAATTAAATAACATATACTCCGTTTAAAACCTTTTGTAAAATTATTAAATAGATATATAAATCTGTTGAGTAAATCTAGACACTCGAGATTTAGGGATTAAGGAAAGCCAAGACGAGGTTAAGGGGTTGTTATTAAAGCCATAAGTCTTGTGGATTTCCGCTTGCACGCTGCGGGGAAGGGTGGGGGGTCGCCAACGTTATTAAATGCATGTAGCCGGTCACCTAGCTCCCTATCTCCATCCATACATATCATTATTCTAACATAAGACTTGAAAGCTGTAATCATTACATCGATAAAGCTTTAAACTAAGAGAGTTGTAATTCATCTTATTTCTTTAATATATCTTTTATTTTTGCTTCCATACTTCCATTTTCCTATTCAATACCGCGTAAGAAATCTATGAAACAAATAAAAGTGGTGCTAAAATACAAAAAGATAACTTTGACAATAAGTACCATGCTTATCGGGTTCAATACTATTTTAACAATCTGGACATAACATTGCAATAAACCCTGGTTGTGTGATATTTTTAAATTTTACATAGTTCGTTTGTAGAGGGTAACAATTAGAAATCATTTCCCAAACTGTGTGGTCTTTACGCTCCATAATGGGCTAAATAAATTTGGCGAGGTAGTGGGTCGTGTAATGGGTCGGATGCGGCGACCGCGGCTCCACAAACAGAGCCGTCACGTCGTTAGCCCACCACAGAGCGCCGCTCTGCAATACCCCTTTTCCCCCTCACCTCGTCTAGTGCCAGCCAAATGATATGTTGGACTCGTTAGCATCTGTTAGGACTATTGTGTTACAAATCTGAATGTTGTTAAATTTACTATAATACTAAATATTTACTATTCAACAGGAGTGAAGGATAATATTTTACACCGAAATGTGTTTAAATTTGTAAAAGAATGCCCATTCAGTTATAAACCCCTGTAACATAATCTTGTCGGACCTGAGATGCCATAAGATATATAGATAACAATACCAACGCACTTAAAAACATCAACTTTGTTAATTAATTTTTCCGTTCTAAAGTCATCAGACTTGAATAAGCATTGTATGCACTAAGTATCAAGTAAAAACTAAATTCAATGAACTGAACAAAGCGGTTCAAGCCACAGCATAACACGAAGTTAAACAAACAGAGAAATCACAGAGTAATGCAGCCACAGAGGGAATGCTTCGAATTCCGAGCTGACAGCCAAATGATTATGTTGGGCTGGTTAACTTACTCTGGTTTGTTTTATTTACATCTATATATAAACGATAAGATTTTTTTTATTAAATATAACTTAATTTAAATTGTATTTCCTCATTTTAACTGTATCGATGAATCGAATGAATTTAAAATGAAATACGGGAAAATATAACAACTTTGTCAGAATTTGTTACTTAGTCGTAGTTTAACAGTGGTAGAGCCCGCTTTAACATCTTCGCACGAATTGGCCCGGCTCGCCCGGTAAAATACCACGACTACACGGAAGACAGACGTAAAGTGGAATCGCTCGCTCGTTTGCAACCTTATGATATAAAAAAAAGTTAGCTTTCAAATCCATAATTTTCGTAGTTCATATTATATTTAATATTAATACAAATCTACAAAATAATCATTCTAGTATCTGTAAAAAGGAACGTTTACTTACAAAGGTACATATATCATATAAAGCGTAAACTTTTTCATATTGCAACTAATTTTATCTAGTTTTTAAAAGCGTAATATTTTTACATTGGCTGACCTATATCGTAGGGAATGTGCACAGTAATTGAGATACGTGTACTGACATAACTCGTGGACCGCTGCGAGGTAATAGAAAAATACAATGGCGATGGAACAATGCTCCACTCACCGGTCTTTACCGTCTAGTCAAATGGAAATTTTAGCTCTCATGTCCATCCGAATTGCGCTACAATAATTCCTCTCAATATTGAATATAGTCATTTAACGACCGAATCCAATCACTCGAATCGTTCATGCTTATCTAAGGTATTTTTATGAACGTTTTAATTCTCCTTCAAATGTAACCGATCTAAGGAACGTGATAGGAATTGAGAAAACTGTGTCATCGTTTAAAAGGCTATTGATACATCTACTTCGTATCACACAGTGATTAAAATAACTCGTTTACTGCCTATATAATACGTCATACTAATGTGAATAAGCTTTGCAGCGTATCAACTTAATAGAAATTAAAATTGGCAAAACTTAGCCAAGCAAAGTTATCGAGTTACTGTTTATAATTATCTCACAAGACTACCGGTAATCCAGTTGGGTGTTTCTAATTTTTCTTTTGGGGTGATTGATATGCAGGCCGTTCGGCCTAACGGGAAACATCCGTCTAGATCAAATTGTAGAATTTAGCTAAATCGATTTTTAACGTATTTATGAATGACGTATTGAGAAATTAAAGTTGTCTACAAATGACTAAATTTAAAAAAAGGGCAAACAATTTTAATTACTATCTCATGTCAATACAAACTTTTGTCGATAAGCGATAAGTAATTTTAGTTAACAGTGTCCCTGCATCGATTACGTGGGTACCGGCAAAGTGAGGTCCATTGGAATTGTATCCGCGCTCAAAATTTTCTATTTGGCTCGTGTCGTTAAAAAGCAGAGCGAGGACGCCATTGTGCCGCGTCCATTGTGTTTTGTATCGGCTCATGCGAGCTGTTTCAGGCCACTTCATGTATTTCAATTAACGCACTCACATTGTACGACTAACTGAAACTGCTAATGGCATCAGTTTCGATAAACGTTTAAACCTTTTTATATTTTCGTTCCATGTTCTGCGCTATTGATGTGAAAATGGAAACCAAGTACAATATTATTGGACGATTGGAACAGCTTTAAAAATTGTTAAGAATATATTTTCACTCTTTAAATCCATCTTCTTTTTCTCATTTCTCCATATTAGTTTACTCTTAAAATTTCATAAAGATCCATAACAGAAGAGCTTTTCTCTAACATCAATGTTAGAGGAAGTAGTATTATTTTGCATTTGTAAATTCCATCAATAATAACTTTTTGATTTGTAAACAAAATAAAGTAACATTCAGGTTGTCATCCATCAAAGTTAGTGCCTATTTAAAATCATATTCCCGAATATGGGCTCGCTTCCCCGAGCAGCGCGTGCAATATGCGCCCGATAAATCTCGGCGCCCGCCAAGACATATTCGGTTTAGGGAGTCGTTATGGTTTGGATATAACTTACTTAGTATTATGTTTTACCTGCATATTAAGAGACTTATTTGAAGTTTCAATATTTATCGAGACAGAAGAAATTTTTAAGAAAATATACATTTTCATTAGGTATTAAAAAATTCTTGGTTAAAATTTTTGAAGACGCACATCGGGGACATGAATGCTGCAAATTATCGAACTTCTTCTTCTTCGTATACTTCATTACTGAAGGTCGTGCCCGTCCTGATATGCCTTTACAAATGCGTCGACTAGCTACCTGCGCACCGCCCTGTCTTCAGGTTGTCTCAGGACAGACGGGATATTTAGTCCTGATATAGCATAATTCACACTATGTAATGTATTAAACCTTGCGCTGCTTTCTTATAGACGATTAAGATTTACAAGAAAAATAGAATATTCCAAAAATTATTATAGAAACTTTTGGTATTAGAATTTTCAGTTAGCTGTACAATGTGAGTGCATTAATTGAAATACATGAAGTGGCTTGAAACAGCTAGCATGAGCCGCGCCGGCCGATACAGAAACAATATAGACGCGGCACAACCTAGCCCTCCCTTTACTCTTTAACGGCTCGAGCTAAATGGAAATTTTAGAGCGCGGATAACAGGTCTTATCGTAGCTTCGGCTATGCACACTACAGCTTCGTGTCTGGGCCACTTATGCTATTTGCGAAAAGCCGCACGTCAAAATATTACCAATTAGTTTATCCAATCGCTACTAGAGTTGCCTTATTCAAATTTTGACTATGTGTTTCCTACTGTTCATATCCTACTTCTTACTAATCTTACTATCTTACTTATATAAATGCGAAAGTTTAGATGGATGGATAGATTTTTGTTTGAAGTTATCTCCGAGACGGTTCAACGTTTTTTGATAAAATTTGGCACACGTGTAGAACATAGTTTAGAAGAACACAGGCTACTTATTAAGGTTTTTTATATCGTACGGACGGAATAGCGCGCTACAACTAGTATTTTAATAATATTTATTTATTCTTCTTTATATGCATTGGGGGATATTCAATCAACTATTTGCAATCGAGTTATATCAATTTCTGACAAACAATTTAACAAAATAGATGAACATATGCAAAGAATTCCCCAGAGGGGTGTCCCCTGCTCATGTATACACTGTCACCTAACTCTATATTAACATTTGAATTCCAAACTACACACTCGTACATTGACGAGGTCGCATATGCAATACGGCTCTAATG